ATGAACACTGAGTCTCAAAGAATTGAAATAAATATTTTGCAGGATTGTTAAAAGTAATGTAAACAGGTGACTTAGCATATTGGCCTAGCGTATAGAAGAGAGTCTATAAAGAACCAATGTTTTTATAAAAAGTTGTAATAGCTGAGATATTAAGAGACAAGATATTTCAAAAATATAAATTACGATCATCAATGAGTTATCTGTTTCCATGGTTCAAAGTTTTCTGATTAGTCATAAAATGTGAGTGAGTAGTTTTGAGGTTCTCATGCCGTATTTCTGTCTAAATTGTCCCTAACAGTCATTGGAATTAGATCACCCACTGCTCTAGGAAGTCCTAGCATCATATTGGTAAATTCTTCCTTCTTGGTTTTCTCTCTCTCTTTCTTTTTTTTGTAAGGGTCTGTGCTGATCATTGCCTGTCTTCTACTGCTAACTAAATCACAGCCTCTATTAATTTAATTAAATTCAGTATTCTTGAGATTTGAGAAACAAATATAGTCATGGGACAATCATGTGGTCCCATGAGATTATAATGAAGCTGAACAATTCCTATTGCCTAGTGACGCAATGCAACGCATTCCTCACGTGTTTGTGGTGATGCTGGTGTAAACAAACCTATTGCACTGTTGGTCATATAAAAGCATAGCACATAAAATTATATATAGTACATAATACCTGTTACTGATTTATATATTTACTATACTACACTTTTATTGTTATTTTAGAGTGTGCCTTTTCTATTTACAAAAAAAAAAGAGGTCTGTTGTAAACAGTATACTGTGTTAAGCTGGCAGCAGCTTCATACGATCTTGTGTTTATCGAATCTCTTGATTCCATCATTTCTCTTGATTTAATCGCATTCTTTGTACAGCGACATGCTGTACAGGCTATGAAATTGCCTAACAACACATTTCTCTGAACCAACCTCCATTGTTAAGTGGCACCTGACTATATCAGCAGCTCCAAATTCTTTAGTACATAACTGATCTGGGTTTCTCCCGCCCCGTGATGCCCACATATTTTCCCCTCCCCCATCCACCCACACATTGGCTAAAAGTACCAATGAAGATCTCTTCACTTTGTTACCAGAGGACAGGAAGAGTGAATGACTTCAGCACAATTAAACACCGCCAATCCGTTCAGTACAATCCGTTCAGGACGTGCAGCAATTTTGTTAATTTATTTAGCATGACCCCACCTCCCACACATCCTGGTTATTTTAGACCTTCATCCACAGGTTCCTTAAAGTTAGTATGGCTGTAGCATAAAAAAAGGTCAGTTTGAGACAATTATCTTGGATATGTTGCATAATTAATTTATGCCCCAGAGAGATAATCTTAAAAATTCTGATTATGGAAGACACAAAAGGCCACATAGTGTATGATTCCATTTATATAAAATATCCAGAATAGGTAAATCCAGAGAGGTAGAATGCCGATTAGTGGGTGCTCAGAGTCTAGGGAGAGAGGGAATAGGAAGTGGCTTTTTAATGAATAAAATGTTTTCTTTTGGGGTGATGAAGTTTTGGAAGCAGATAGAAGTGCTAGATTTACAACAATGTATGTACTAAAGGCCACTGAATTTCACCTCAATAAAAATTCCCTATTAAATTAGAGACTTCAAGGGACTAAACCTTATCTATCCTCCAAAGGGCCACAAGTTTGAGCGTGCCAGGGATGGATGGGCCAGCTGCACCTACAAAAACTAATCCTGGATTATTCCCTGTTAAAGAGGTTTTGGATGCTGGTAAAAATTAAATTTAACTCGACTGCAGAGAAGCCAGCATTGGTGGCATTGCCTACCTTTGCAGGTTTCCACACTTGCCTATTCGTTGTCTAACCAGCAAGGGTCACCTCGTTTTGTTACAAGGGAAAGAAGAGAAGAGCCAATCTAATCAAGAACAGTTAGGGAGAAACCAATCAGCTTAAGTAGGAAAAAGTCCTGTAATTTTATTATATATATAATATTACAGGTGCAAAACCTTTGGAAACATGATCTTGTTAATTCTCAGATGTATTACCAGTGGTTTACAGTTGAGAAGTTATTCACTTAAGATCACATAACTAGTGAGTGGCATGTCAGTACTAGCCTTGAAACAAACACCAATTCTTTTATATTAAAATGAACAGGATGATATAAACTATATTTTATTATACATAGAACTATGTTGATTTGGGATCTAGATGTTCTGTGCATAAATGATACAATATTTTTTAGCTTCTACGTGGCAAAAGAGAAATTATTCCTGTTCTATGTTATTAGAACCGTTGTGATTCTTATGAATTGTACTTTAATTGTGGATTAAAGTCATAATTTAATTTATAAATTATGGTAGTTAATGACCTATTATTACACTGTGTCAGACCTTTCTGTTTCTCTAGGATAATGGCAACATAAAAGTATAGTTTAACTATCAAGTTGTAGATTATAACAGAAATATTGTTTTTCTCTTAATAACAAACTAGCTGTTATTCATGCTTTTATATTAACATTTTTATATGAATAGTTTTGAAGTAATTTTTTCAATGCCTATTGATTTTGATGTCAATAGTACACATTCCATAAGCTTATTTGTATTAATATTACTTCATGTCTCTTCTCCCACAAATCTCATCCATTTTCAAGAATGGATGGATGGATATATGAATGTGATTTTATACAAATAGAAGCAATGTTTTTCTGTTCAGTTCTAATTACTCTGCATTGTAACTCCTGTGTTTGACCACTTGGGACAGAAAAATATGTTAGGAAATAGTGTATAATGACACAGTTGATACCTCAGTGGCCAGCAATCCCTTAAATACAATCCAGGTTGTTTTCCATTATAATATTATCGTATGCTTGCTCAAAGCTCTTCTATTACCTTTTTTCAGGGGTTTAGGGGAGGGAGTGGATCTTGCAAATTTATGAGATCATTCTAAATTCAATCTTCATGAATAGTTACATAAATTTAATAACGTACTCCATAAAGCTACACAGCATAGATGTGTGGCTAGGTAAACACACAAAAGGAAGGAAAAGGGAGAGAGGAAAAAGGAAAACACCAGAGAGAGAGAAAAAAAACCCTGCAGGACCCCTGGGTTAGGAAAATACTAGAATCTTATTGAAAGTGATTGGACAAATTGAAAAAAAAAAAAAAAGACCATTATTAGCTATTTAAAAAAAATTTGAGAGTTTGAGGTGAAGTGAAGCTCCGTTTGTCAACAGGAAGCTATGGGCTCTGCACCTCTATTTATATAAACATTTGCTTTTTCCATCTTAGATTCTGCCCAGAAGTTGTCATTTGACTGCTGCTTCTGGCTTTGCTTGATTGGCTTTTAGAAAAAAAAACTTGTGGCCACCTGTTTCTCTCTCCATCACAGAGAAACTCAACAAGTCACTTTCGCTGATGTTTGGTTCGTGAAAAATGCTAAAAGATACAAGAGTTTCAATTTTTATTGGCGCTTTGGATTTTTAACCAAATTTTTGCCTCCCTGAGTTGACAGTCTTTTCCATGGTTCTCCTGATACACTCCCATTCTACCCTGTGAGGCTCCAGATCTCTCAGGACCTCTTCACCACACATTCTGAAACCTCTCACAGAGATTAGTGAATTCCCATCTTCTAATCTTCTGGTTCCCCTGAACTGATGTCAACCTGTCATCACTCTCCCATTTCCTTATCCCTCTTGTCTGGTGCTCTTCTGTCTTTTCTGTTTCTTCTCAGATTTCTTTCTTCACTGTGTTACAGCTGCTTCCGTATAGAGGAAGGGAGAAACTTAGAGATTGCAAGTTGCTTGCACCTTCTGACCAGGTGTAAAGTATTTGGTTAAACATTTAACTTTTGCTACAGCACCTCAAAGCCGAGGAGGGCGGAGCTTGTGGCTAGCAACATATTCTGCTTGATGTCAACAAAAGTAAGGCCCAAACCAGCTGGGGTTTGCACATCTGCCTTTAAGTCAAAAGATACTCAGAGAAAGTGTGCATGAAACTATATTTAGAGAGTACAGTGCAGGCTTGAATTTCCAGGACTTTTTCACTCAAGGAGAAAGGAGAATTTTAATCATAAGCATGAAATATGGAAAAAGTTAGACTCAGAGCAAGAGCAACTCAATTTTGGAAGAGAAAACAAGGGTGAACCTTATGAGTAGGCAGGTGAGGCTGCTACCTCTTCAAGGTACCAAGATGGCATTTATCTCAAGTTGCCTAACTTTTACCCAATCCTTTAATTCCAACATTAAAGATCCATTGTTTGGGTTGAAATAATTCTCTCACATCAAAATGTAAGTTCCTTGTTTAAGAAGGTTGTCATTTGCTTTCACCAGGAAAAGGATAATATTAATACCTTAAAGAGTAAAAGGTTTTCAAATTTTTTTCATGGGAGGAATAAGGAAAGAAAACTAGAACATTGGAGACCTGAAATGGGGCAAGAGTAAAAAAAACGACAACAACAACAAAAAGGGGTGAATTGAATTCTGCCAATAGGGAAGAGAGTACAGAGGGAAAGAACTGGGACCAAAAACAACCCCCCAAAATTTGACTTGGGATTGTTCTTAGGGGAAAGTTATAGGGGAAAATAAGACTTATAAAGATAAGGAAAGAAAAGTTGAGGAGTGAGTAAGAAATGTTGGTTTACATATCAAGAAAAGTAAAAAAAGGTAGGGAACATAAGAACAATGAGAAACGGCAAAACGCAGGAATTTGATCTTGCAAAAGACAAGTAAGGATAATGCATGAAACTTCGCCTAGCTAGACAACTGGGCCTGAATCGGGCAGAAAAGAAAAAAGAATTTTCTGGTTAACCAAGAAGGGGCCACAACTGGAGGAGAGCAAATAAATGTGGAATGTTGGAAAATCAACAATAAAGCTGTGACGTGAAGAAGGATACGCCAGAAAATAGTGGAATAGAGAAATCTGAGCAATATTGGTATTTAGTTTTCAAAGTGGAATAAAAACATGAACTCAGGTCTTCTTACTTAAACGTAGACTAAAAAAAGGAATAACTAGACCAAAGACCTCTCTCTTGAGAAGGAAATTGGAAATTATTTTAAAACGTTTAATTTGCAATATACACAATATTGGGATTGAGGTACTTTCTGGTGGGAATGTCACCTCTCGTTCAATGTGAAGTAGGAGGATCAGGTTCATGAAGAGATTCTTACATGATTCTTAGAAACTCTGTGCTTACAGTGGCTACAATATGTATTTCATATGTCTGTCTATATACAAATACATTTACTTCTAGAGACTGGAGCATGGAGCAGAGATTACATGCTTTGGGGCTTTTCCTAACATTTCTCTAATCGGTTGTGCAAATCCCATTAAACTAAATTGCTTCTTAACTGCAAGAATCCAATCCTCAGTTAGGCATTTTCCTCAGCAATATGAAAGGAATTAACCCCCTACTGAGTGGCATTCTGTCATTAGTAACTGGTTGTCTTAACGTCCCCTCGTTCCTACTTGAATTCCATAGGCTTTTTAAGAGTTACTCAGATGGAAGGTCCATAATATATAGTTTTCCACTTACAGTGAGATTTTTGTTCTACTATATTGTGGACTGCTGTCCTAATACAATGTATTTCCCCTCTTTGAAAGCAGACATAGTTGTTGTGAATTAGAGTGCACCTGGGCTCCAAGAAACATGAACAATGAATTTAAATTTCAAGAATCGTAGAATTAAAAAAAAAAAAAATCTTAGAACTAACGTAGATTTAATCTTCTACGTTAAAGATGGGAAAATTAAACCAGAGCTTAATGAGGAAATATAACTTATCCAAGGCTACCTGGTTACTATTAGACCTAGGATAAGAATGTGGGTTGTTTAAATGTGTTTCTTTTCCTCTTTCCTATTAGGCAAACTTTATGCCTGTCTATTAAAAGTTCTGATCTGAATCCCCTTCTTAGGCCCCAAATCAGGCTATTCCAGAATCTATTGCACAATAATCTTTACGGATTTTGGTAAACGGTGAGAATGAAAGAAGTAGCAACAAATCAGGGAAACTCAGCCCAGTGATATGGTTTGACGTTAGTTGTCTAATTAACCCGTGGAGGTGGGCTAACCCCAATACTACCATAAATGAATAAGCAAATGAAACTTACTTACAAGCGCTAATTGCCAATTAGACTACTGCATCAAAAAAACACACAGAGATTCATGAGTCCAAGTTCTATACTTGGCATACTCCTCTCTCTTTAGCCTCAGCTTCTGAGTTTAGCAGAAAACAACATTTTGGGTCACTATATATCGCTGGCAGTATTATATAACTCTTGGCTGTGGAGAATTTTCTAGGAATACAAAAAATTATCATGATCTTTCTCATAAGGAGGACGTTCCAGGCAAATGTTAGGACAATCAGCAAAATAGTTAAAATAAGAGTAAAGAGGTCTATAATTTTATGGATGAGTGGGGAGTTAATCTTGGAAAAACTTGAAAAGAACCTAAATGAGTTTCTATGGCTAGCCAAAATAGACAGTAATAGCTTCTTCCACCCTAAGATCTTTCTTAGACAGATTCAGTAGTAAATGTTATTAACCTTAAATTTATTTTCCCTTGAAATTATATGTAGAATGTTTGTATATAAGCCATGTGGTCATCATTTATCTACTATGTCTACGATATTGGGAAGCATGCAAATAATATAGACTTTGTATTGTAAGTTCTGAAAAATGAGATAAATGTTATCAGTCTAGGTGAAAAATCAGAGAGTAGGGGCAAAAGCTTAATATCGCAAAAGGTTTGGTTTATGAAATGCTACTGTGTATGTGTTAGCCGACCATGATCGGACCAGGAGTTTTCTCTTCCTAGAGCATTCTCTTCCACCCACGCATTCTTTCTTCTTTCTTGTTCCTTGGTGATCACAGACCACTGGGTCTCTGCAAATGCACATTTTCACAGGGAGGAAGTCGGAAGTAGTTGGAGCGTTGGAGTCGCCTTGGGGGCAGACCAGCCATCTGACGGCAAAGCTCATCTAGAAGAGAAGCAGAACACAGTGGGATGAGAATATAGGAAGTGGAATGGTGGAGTGAAAAGGTTAGAGAGACAGATCTGAGTTAGAATCCCATCTCTGCAACTCCCTAGTTGTTTACAACTTACTAGAAAGTTTCTTAACTTTTTTAAACTTCACTTTTCTGTAAAATATGCATTAAAATACTTGCCTCAATAGTTTAGTTGTGATATTAAAATGAAATAACGTATAAAAAGTTTGTAGCACAGATGGTCAGTAAATATTAGTTTCCTTTACGTACCTAGCTTCCCATTCTTCTAATTATGAACTTATTCAACAGCCCCAAAATGAGGTCTAATCACTCAGTGTATATTCAAGTGTTTACTATGTGCACATAGCTAACTTGACTAAGTCCCCTGAGATACATAAAAGTGCCTAGAGTCCCAAATACTCATTCTCAATCTCAAGGTGCTTCCCTTGCAGGTGGCTTGCACAGACACCATGGGGGCAAGCAGAAAGTTTCCTTCTGCGAAGTTAAGTACAGCTCTTACTCAGGAACTCAGTGCAAGGCGGGCTGCTGAGTCAGAAGTGGCTTGTCTGTGGTGCCTTCACTAACCACAACCACCTTTTGGGGCTGGCGATGGGGAAGGTGAAAAGTATCTTTATTCCCACCATGAATGGTCACACACTTTCGACACTTTGAATTGTTTTTATAAAATCTTTGTACCTTCCTCTACCTCTGAAATTTCACAATGAGCAATATATATGGTTCTTGAAAGTGGTGGACTGTTTATCATGTAGCCAGTTTCTAAATGTCCAGTATATTTTAAATTTATTTATAGGCCCTTTCCAAGCGATACTGTCTCCAAATTAACTTGCATTTTAACTTTTTAGAGTTATGAACATGGCTACAGACTAGTAGAGTCTGTTATTTGTAATGATTGACTTGGCCTTTTCATCTAGAACCCCAGTGAATGACCTTCAAAGCAGCCAGAGCTTCAGAAATCTCTAACTATATGCAGGAGAGATTGGGAGTTACAATCTACTTGGAAAGAGATCTGGGGTTACTTTTCTTAGGATTATGTTTCTATATTAAGCATATTGCCTCACTTAGATCACTTATTTGAGGTAACTTGGTAGACCAGGGACCGAAGGAGGTTAAAGGGTGACCAAGAGCCCTACTCCAAAGCCAGATCTTGATCCGTTAACATTATGTCCTCATTTACCTCCTTTATAACTGTCCCTCCCTCCACTAAAAACACAGACATCATCTTACCTTTCATAACTTCATGTTCTTTACAGACAAGACGGGAGCAGATTTCATTGTTGATGATGTACATACGTCGTAAACTGCCAGAGTCCCAATATCATGGTTAAGGACAGAGACAGAAAAAAAACATTGAGAAGGAGAACTAGCCTAGGCCTAGGATGCTTCTTCAACTCCTGTATTCCCCATTAATGGATCTCCTTAAGTACTTCAGACTTCTTCTCCCCTGCCCCTTCCCCCCAGAGGTAGAGGGGATGGGATGGTATTAATTACTCTTCTTAGAGACACTTTTGCATATTCCACCCATGGTCAAGCTTAATACTCCTCTCTACTATTTTCTACCTTCGGACTTGGATCTTTCATTTCAGCCTTTTTTTCTATGAGGTAATAAATCCATGTGTTTCCCTCGTGAGTACCCAGTCCTCACTTTCATTTGCCCTCTAGCACCTAGACTTGTCAGTCAGCCTGTTCTCTGTATGCCTCAATCTAGACTATGGGTTCTAGCTGGCACCTTTAGGAATAGCTGAGAGCGTTATGCTAAAAACTTTTGCCCCTTCAAAGACTGAAATTCCTTAGTGGGTACTCATTACATAGTTACTGATATGAAAACACTATTATGGAAGATGCTCTCTGGATATTCTGGGATTCTTTACCTGGTGAAACATAACTGATGAACGCATTGCTTGACTGGCCGATGCACAGAGTAGAGTCTTGTGCAAGCAAATTTCTCATCCCGGCACTCTGAAGAAGCCGGATACAAAAAAATAGGGAGAGGCATAACAAACAGGAGAGGTATAAACAAAAGATTAAAGCTATGGAGGAGGAGAGATAGAGTGGAAAAAACATACAAAGCAGTCTCCACAGAGGATCATTGTAAGTTGGGGCATTTCCTTTCTGCTCACCAAAACAGAGTAATAGAAAATTGACTACAATGAAATTTAGGTGTTTTCCTACCTGTAACAGAAGTGGCTAAAATTATCTATGAGGGTTCTTCTAGGAAAAAGTCCTTCTAGGGTTATACGGGTGGCAATATGAAATGTCAACTTGAAGTGCTGATAATCTTGTTCCGAAGAACGAGAACTCTAAAGTGGGTTACTAGTTCTTTCTTCCAGTAGTTTTTAACCTTAGCTCCACATCAGAATTATCAGTACATTAGAGAAAGCAATTTTAGCCATGACATCTATAGCAATATTGAGTCCTTGCAGTCACTTCCCAACCCACTAACCACAAATAAAGTCCAAAGGGAGTTTAGGAAAAGGATTGTTTCAGGATGATATGACAGTGGCCCAATCTTTTCACCGTGACTTTTAGGAGAGGAACTTAAAAAAAAAAAACACAAAAAAACCCCAACCAACCAAACAAACAAACAAAAAAAACAGAGAGAGAGAGGGAAGAAGAATAAAGGATACCAAAAGTATTCTTTGAGAAAGAATTGGATATAAACTAGATACACCCCAAAAAACAAAGGGGTAAGGAATCCTCAGGAAGAAAAAAAAAAGCATAAGAAAAAGACATGCAAAACATAATCATACCTCCAGTGGTATTTCTATCATTGGCCAGGGTTGGAAGGCAGAAATTTTATTAGTTATTACTATATTTTAGAAGCCATTGCTTCTCTGTCATGTTACCTCACTTGAGACCCATGTGAAGCACCCATATAGATAGGAAACAAATGAGTTGATATCTCTTTTAGTAACTTCTAAAAGAAAACCACATAATGATTTGATCCATGCAATTGAAGAGATTTAGAAATTGGGATGAGAAATATGATTTTTGCCTTTCTCTCCTAGAGAGTTGAGAAATGTATCTATCTGCATTGTTGATGATAGCAAATTGAGTAAGGGCACAAAGCAAAGAGTCATATATTCAGAAGAGCTTCACCTTAGAGCTAAAGAGAGAAGATTTTTATCCTGTAGAAGCTCTTCTTCAAGAAAAATATTCTTCTCTTTAAATTAGATACATTGTCATGGATTCTTTGATTAAAATTATTTGGTAAAGAATAGTAAGGGTCATAGCATAGCCATAGCTGAAACTAACTTAGGGGCAGATTGAAAATGGGCCTAATTTTGCAGAAGAGAACAAATTAAGGAGTAAGTTGAATCTTGAGGGAATAGACTAACCATGGGAGTTACCTGTAAAAATGTCATTGGAAGAGTTAGTAGGACACCATAGGAAGTGTGCCAGGTGATGTCTATCCCATGGTTTCAATTGCAGATTTATATGCTGAGAATTCTCAAACTTAATACTTCTTGTTAAGATCATGCCTCTAAGCTCTAGACCTATAAACCTAATTGCCATTTTTGGAAGATTTCATTGATTTTTCAAAGTTCCTTCAAATCCAACATATCTCGAACTTACTTATCTTTACCTTCGATTCAAATTGTTCTTCAGCGAATGGGGCTACCACCCATCCAATAGCCACCATCTACCCTATAGAAAACTGAACATCATCTCAACAGTCTTCTCTTCCTTACAGCTCCCATTGAATTCTCACTACCTCTACCTTAGCTCAGGGCGTCATCTTTTATTTGGATTACTGTAACATCATCCTCATTGGTTTTCCAACTCACAAATCTGATTAGAAGTTTCCTTTGCAAAAACTATTCTCTGAATGAGTTTCATTTCCATCCTGAGCCTTTGCCCACATTCTTTACCTAAAAGCTCTTCCCTCTTCTATTCATTTGATTCATTTCTACTTGTCTTTCAAGAAGCAACTTCGTCAATGTGCCATCTAGAAAAGCCTATCCTAAGCCCCAACACTGGATATAGTCAAGGACTCCTTTTGAGTCTTCATAGCTTCCTTTGTTTATCCTGATAACAGCATTTTGTGAAACTAAATACAGTTATCTGTTCATTTGTCTATCTTTTCTGTTAAACAAAAGGTATCTAGTAGAAGAAAATCAGTTTTGTTCACCTTTATATTCCTGGCACCTAAGTAGCAGGTTTTCAGTAAATATTTGTGAAAAATAATCTAGTTTCTGTCTCATTTTATCATGTCCTACCACTTATTCTTTGTAGTTTTTGGCCCTAATCATTCAAAAAACTCAGTTTCCCCGATATGCCATGCTCTATTTTGCTTTTATATCTTTGAACACACTATTTTCTTGGCTGGAATGTACATCCCACACTTGACTTCCTGGCTTGCTCTAATTTTTCTTTCAAGATTCAACTCAATCATTACTTCTTCTGGAAAGTCTTCCTTTATCTTCTCATGTATTTCTTTGTTTATATGTCATGCCTTTACTCATCTAGTCATGGAAACTTTGGAAGATCACGTCTCAATGTTTTGTATATTAAACACCTAGCACACAATTCTGCTTGTTAGGGGATCAAAAATGTCATTAATTTAAATTTAACTGTTGGAAGAAAGTGCTATATACACTGTAACCCTGTCTACTTAAGATCCTTCACCAGCTAGCTGTGCTGCCTTCCATGACGGGCTCTGGGGGAAGCCCAGAATGGCCCCAGTGGCCCTGGGATCCCGGAACTGAACTCACCCAGGTCATCTGTGGAAGGCTCAATATCAGCCAGAACTGAAAAAGCACAAAACAGAAGGTGTGAGGAGGGCTTTGAATTGGCAAGGGGGAAGGCAGAGTAAAAAAAAGGAGAATGGAGCTATGAGGCTCAAATTCAAGGCTATGGCTGGCTGGGTTTGTGTATTATGTCCAATGGAATAGAGTTAATTGAAATAATTGTGAATATCTTTTGAAGACTCTTTGGCCTATTAATGTTATACTAATTTCCATAAGCTTTATCATTAATGCCTTATAGTAGCTATTAATCCACTTTCTTTCCTCTTTTTAGAAGAGTAGGAGGCCTCTCTTTCCTTTTATCCCACTGTCACTGAACAACAGGCCCACAATCCCTCTATCCCATCCCCAGAAATAAAAATATAGGATTAATTCAAGAGCTGAAGTAAATATTGTGAATATTAATAAGAATCATGCCAGTTTTTTTTTTTAAAAGAACTGTAGTAAAACTTAACCTGTTTCATCTGTAGAGGGCTCATTTACCAGATCTGCAATGATACAACACAGAGAATGAAAAATGCAGGTAGGAAAAGTAGAAAAGGAAGTAGGATATGGAATGGTGATCTAAAAGAAGGGTCAAGGTGAAAGAATGTGGACTATGGGGCCAATATAAGAGACATCACAGAAGGAAGTAGTGGAGAGAAGATTGGGCATATTTCAGCATCAGCGGCATGTAAGATAGACAATTAGGTGTTACATGAGCTCAGAGTGCCCACCAACCTTTCTAGTCTTCATTTCTCTTTGTACAGACATCATCCTCAATCCTTCTATCCCCAGTATGAAAGCAAAGAAATAAAGAAAGGGTAGCTTACTAGGATCTTCTGTGAATGTTTCTGGAGTCGCTTGAGTCACATTGACTAAATTGAAAAAAGTCAGAAAACATTTTTGGAGCATTCTGTTTATTCCTCCCACCCTGCACTCAGTAAGTAAAAGTGTCTAGCACAGCCACCAATACATAGTATCCCACATTTATTTTTCATTATTTGCTCCCCAGCTTAAGTCCTTTCCCCTGTAACCCAAACAAATGTCACATTTTCCTACTTCCACGAATATACCCATACAGTCCTAGCCCAGAGCATTCTTTTTCCTTTGTATTATCTAGAGGAATGAATGAACTACATGCCCGTCAGGCACCCTTTTCTCAGTGAGACCAATTTAGCATTGGACTGCAGGAATAACTCACATTATTTTATTGTCCTAACAGATAATGAATATATTTAGCTAATTTGAATTTTCTATGTGCCAGGCACTGTTTAAATTCCTGTTTTAAAAGATTAAAAAAACCTGAGCATCAGGAGAATAAATAATTTACCTAAGGTCAGAGAGCTTGTTAATAAATGCAGCGGATTGAGGACCTCTTTGCAATGATTATTCAAAATGAAAATTACCTTTACCACTGATTTTGCTATTTACAATTTTGATGCAATTAGGTATCAGTCTGCTGATATGCTTATATATTAGAGTGTTCACAAAAGGTGATGTCGATAATTTTATAAGGATCAGTGAGAAGTGGGGTGAAGAGAGAGGAAGGGAAATGCCAGTGTTAGTAGAGAATGCCTTGCAGTTGATCATTGGAAAATAAAGGCAAGAAGAGAAGACATAAAAATAGTGCAGGTTTTAAAGTGAAATCTATTAGGATAAACCAAGAAAACTGTATCTGAAACGATAAATAATAGCACTTCTAGAACTACTTGTCTCGACTTCAAAAAGCAAAATAACAAAGCAACGTTAACATTTAAACAGCAAACGTACCTTCTCTAATTATCCTTCGCTGTAGAAAGCTTATGGCCATAGTCTATTTTACCCGCTAGGGGTCGGCAAATCCCTGCAGTTTGCTTTGACTTTTTTTTTTCTTTTTAACTTCTGAGTCTAAACGTCAGATTTAAATCGGGTGAGAATAGCATTTTTGTAAAGCACATCAGAGTTGTTGATCTTTATAGTAGAGGCAAGACACAATTAAATATTATGAGGGAATTTCCCCTGCTTACCTCATCCTTTTTTTTAAAAAAAATTCCAAACAGACAGATCATCAGATCTGACGATAGAGCCTTTTTATCTTTAACACTCAGTATAAACTTTCTTTTTTTCAGAACAAATTTTGAAAAAAGGAATCCAAGTCTGTTTCAATGCCACAGGATATTTTTTAAAAATGCACTGACCTGAGTCATTCCAGGGACTGTGAGGTGGGGAGAAGAGCCTCTCCCGGGTGTGACCCAATCTGGCCCCGTTTCCCTTTCTCTTTAGCCACATTCCAGTCTGGCCACTCACAGAAACAGAAGTGAAGCGGTGGGTGCGCAAAGGGGTTGAGGGGGTCTCTTAGCTGTCTCCTGAGGATTTCAGGCAGAGTACTGCTCTTCTGGATATCCCCGTTTACCCACCTTTTCTATGCACTACCACCATATAAACGCTTACCTAGGATTCATGAACGTTCTCTGAAAAATAATCTTAAGAAGACATGTGCATCATATCTTAAAATATTTCCGGTAGAAAAGTACCACAAAGTCATAAAATAGGACTGGACCTTACCCAGCCCCGAGAAATAAATTCAGATTTTTAGTTTTGCTAGTATTGAAACTCGATCAAAGTTCAGACACGTGGGGATTCAGACCTATTTACTCACAACAGAGAAAAAAAAGAAGTCTTTATTTCTATATTTTTATCTTCTGTTCCAGGACACAGAGTAAGAAATTGTATCATGTCCCAGTGTACACAAAACTGAAACAAGTTTAAAGATAATACTTTATTCTTGCAATGTACTTGCATGTACTTTATTTTAGTCTATCCTAACTCATTAACGAATACCAATTGTGACCCACTAATTTGATTGAATGACCCATTAATGGATTACATACTGCTGTGCTCACAAGGATTGGGCAAAGCAAGAGATAAATTGTAATTATGTTCAATGTCCGGAGGCAGAGCGGAGATGTTGATTGGAATTCTCTTCATTAAGCTGAAGGAAGTAGTCCTTTGGAAGCCAGATCTTTTGGGCTCTGTTCAGTTGTGCCATAATTTCGCTGTAGTGCTGAGATGACTTCTCATCCTGTCTTTGCGTTTTAGTTTCTCTACTGTTACATGGATAGGCAAATGCTTTCTGTTAGGATTAGTGGGCATTTTCTGAGCAAGGTAAGAGATGTATAGAGGAGAGTGGAAGCAGGAGATAAGCATAGAAAAGGTCTTGGGAAAAGTATTTCAGTAGATTAAAAAAAGACAAGAAGGTTTTATGAAAGAGATGAGAGGACTGTGGAAACTGGTGAGTTAGATCTTATTTTCTCACACCTTGGCAACACATCTCTGTTATATTACCGATTCTTGAACTCTGACCCTTCAGCTATATTACCCTGATAAGAACCCCAAGAGAGCCCAGACCAAGGGTTCACCTACCTTCTCCTTGACTGTTGACCCCTAGAGGTGTCCGATCTGTAACAAAGGAGGGAGAAAAAGGATGTAAGTGACTCCAGCTCCATATCCCATAAAGCTTTTCATGGGATGAACCAGAAAATAATGGGCAAATGATTGTACTTTATCTTTTATTGTTAGATAGCTCAATACAAAAAAATCTCAGATCATTAGTGCTACACACAAATGTGGAAACACTCAAGAAAGTCAACAAATTATTGACAACAAACCCCTACTCTGTTACGCCCTGACTCAGGATGACCTCTCGCCCTCATTCCCAACCAGAAGGAATGAGGTCCTGTTCCACAGAGAGGGCCAGCAGCCCTTTGTAATGTGTCCTGTCCTTCTATCCCCATAGCCATCCCACTAGCTATGCTACTGAACAAGGCAAAAAGATTTTCTCACAGTGTGTATCTGGCAGAATGAGAAAAATAAATAGAGTAGGAGTTTTTTGAAATCCAAGGATTATTTTCTGTGGCTAATCTTCTTGCTAGCTTCTGTGAAATCTGTGAAGATAATTTTTCTTTTGTCTGTAGATTTGATACATAGTTTTGGTGTGCATGTGAATATATTTATGTGTATGCTGGTGCTAGTGTTTGTTAGGTGTTAGTGTATATCTTCCCACTGTTTTCCTACAGTATTTAAATTTTGGTCCATTTTCTTATTAGGTGGTTTCTCTATGTTTGTGTATGGATTTGTATATCAGCTTCTTTTTCTTTGGTATTTGTTTACTTGAATATTTACGTGTGTGACCTTCTATTGGTTAATATGTATTCGTGTGTATCTTCATTTCTCCCTAGTTTTATAACTCTCAGGATACCTTTTCTCAAGTCTGAGGTCATCTCTATCCACATCCCTGTCCTTTTCTTCTTTAACAAAATCTGTTCCTTCTCTTTCAATAGCAGTTCTAGAATTCAACAGCAAGCATCTCTCCCTCATTTCCCCTTCAACATCCTTCCATTCCATTTTCTCACACACACCTCCAGACACATGTATAGCTGAGAAACTGTCATTTTAGGGAGAAAAGAATAAAGGTAGGGACTCACCCGAGGGAATGATGAGTGCGGTGAGAAACAGCAGCACCTTGGGTTCCAAGAGCAGCATATCTGACAGGTGGAGGGGAGAGCAGAGATTGTAATGGTCAGGGACAATCAGCATTTCAGGTCCGGGAAGGATGTCTGTGGCCCATCGCTTTGTCTTCCCAGGAACTTTCCTGGTCCTTCATGTGGCTCAAATCCTTTCTCTCTCCTTACTTTTCGCTCAACATTTATTTCTCCTTCAAATTCTATTCTTTGATCACAACATTATTCTTACTCTCATTACTCTTCTACCAAGTTGGAGGAAGTTTTATATTGTAAATGGTCCGTGTTTATCCCTACACTGTCCTAGGGTCTAATCTTCTTTTTTGATATCTGTGACTTGGTTATATCATTTGCTCATCTTGGTGTCTTTTTTCATTTGAATTTCATGAATAGTTGGGATATTTGCTCAATTCTAAGTTCAATGGCATGCCCCATCGCCCCCCTCCAGCCCTTCAATGCATACATACACACGCACGCACACGTACACATATACACACTCCCTTTGTTTATTTAGGGTTTTATACAATCAAACAACTCACTGTCTATGGTCCTCTGCTCTTTCCACCGAGTCCTTTGGCTGCTGACTGTGTCTCTCTCCTTCTCACGCTATTCCTACTTTGGCTGGAGATTAAGATGAACAGGGCCACTCCCTGGGAAGGACTTCAAATTTGGCCTTCTGAAACAATGAGATGAGGGAGAGCGAGGGAGAGAGCAAGAGAGAGAGAGAGAGAGAGCACGGGAGAGAGAGAAAGCCAGGCTAGAGTAGTGCAATGAGGCTGAAATGAGAAGGGGGATGGGAATTTTCAGTCACTCACACCCTCATTCCAAAGGTTGTGACCACACTGGTGAAAGATACTGCTGCTCCCTAGAAGGACTGGCCCAAGCTCATGTATGCCTTTCTTCCATGAGCCTATTTTCCCTCTCGAAATCTGGCTCCAGCACCACCCCCTTCCCTGGCGTTCCTTCTTATTTAAATAGTTCAGTCTCATCCTTGGAATGTTTTCCTGCACATCACCAGAATCTGTTTCTATCTCTCACTGTCTTCCATTTTTGATTTTTTTCTCCATTTTCTCACTTTTATTCTTTTTTGACATTCATTTCTTTAACAGCAAATTCCTTTGTCTACCTGCATTTCTCTTCTTTGCCTCTTTCTTGACCCACACATTGACTCTTGTTTTTTTCTTCCCCTAGAAATTCTATTTATTCCCACATCCAAGTAAACACAGATATCATATGAGTTTTGTCTAAAAGGAGGCCTGTCTGTTTTAGGGTTAGAAAAAGTTGATGAATACAGTACCCTTGAAATCCTTTTGAAGTGTGGAGAAGCCACGCTTCACGCCGGCTGTATTCTGTCTCTTGGCTTTGTTTAAGCTTACGCTAAGAATCTTGGTTTCATAAAGACAAAATGCCATAAGGCCCAGAGAAAACTGAGAGCCAAGTTTACTCTGTGTGACTTATTTTTCACCAGTACTTTTCCTCATATCGTGTAATATGTAGATAACACTTTCTGGGATTCCAAGAGTTTTAAAGACTTTGTATTTACTCTTATTCATAGAAACCCTAGTAGATTATTAAAATATCTCCACTTTGGAGAGAATCGACGTCAATTATAGAAATTCAAATCTGAGAAGCGGTTGACCTTACGTGCATTAGAAGTGTGTGAGTTTCAAGTTACCTGTTAGCTCCCGTAGACTACATTGTGTATCTCTCTGATGAGCTAAATTAGAAAAGAGTGTAAGGTAGACAGAGAGCGCAGATAATATTAATAAATTACAGACTAGAAGAAAAAAGAGTAAATGGTGGAAGGAAAGGAGGAAGGAAGAGGGGAAGGAAGGAAAGAAGGAAGAAAAGAAGGAAGAAAACTAGCTGGCTGTCTAGTTGGGAGGAAGGGAGAATAGTGAACATAATAAGAAATAAGAAAATAACACCTGGTTCCTCTGAGATACATGGATTCTGGTCAGTCCCTAGAACAAATCTGAGTACAAAGACCAGCTCTTCCTGATCTGCTTGGCCCAGAACTTGCTCTTCTCCCATCTGCTCTGCAGCAAGAGTGCAGAGGCTGGAAAACAGATGTGATTCCAGTCTGGGGAGAATCGGGGAAAGAAAAGGCAGAGAGTGGTGGGGAGTGGGGGGGAGAAACAAACAAAAAAAAAGCAGATGCAAAGCAGACCTAAGGCAGGACGTATAACAAAGAGCCTAGAGCAACAATCATGTTTTCCATGAAACTCAGACAGATGGAGAAACTGAACTCAGGCCAATCGTTTGGCAGGGAGAGCAATGACCTCAATCTGCTGGCCAAACTGGAGCTGTGGCGTAGGAAAGCCTCCCCAGGCAGTAGGAGGGGGCGCTCTCCTGGGGTCCTGGGAGGGAGTCTGAAGTTAAGGCAGTGAAAATGGAACAGAATGTTCAGAGCAAGGCAGGGGGAGAAGAAGGCAGGCATGGAGTGAAGGAGAAAGGAGAGGAAGCAAGGCGGGAACTGGTATAAGAGCAGTAACCACCATCAATTCTCACTGGGCTTAATGAACATACAAGAATGTAGTTTGTTTTCAAAGTAATTTGGTTAATTTTTTTCTTTCTTGACAGCTATGGTGGCCCCTTTTTTTCTAGTGTAACTCCTCATTTGTTTTAGATCCCTAGGTTTGGAGAAACTCAGATTGACTTTGCTCAAGGTGATTTGGTCAGCCTCTGTTCTGTTACACTATCAGTTTATCATTGAATTACATGAAGTCATAATCAGCACCACTAATAGTCAAAAATGAACAACCGTCATCCACAAATGTGAGGCATGTAATTTCTGGAGGTTCTCGCTAACGGTGGGGAAAAACTCTCAGGGCCACAGAACTCCCATCAAACACGGGCTGGATCTCCTGTGGGTGGAGAGCACTTTCCCCAACAGTATGAAAGTCCTCCATGGAAATGACTGGCAGGTGCAGAAGAGACTTAACGAAGGCAATCTAATGTTGGAGATACCTAGGAAAATTTTAGTTGTCAAAAAAGGTCTCCAAGCAAAGTGGGCAAAGATGGGCAAAGTGCAAGGAAAGGGAACGGAGGCAGCGATTCGAGACAGCACACTGGGTTTATTCATCTGTTTATTGGCCTGTAAAGAATACACCCATTAGCTGAAAGCCTCTGGGCAAATGTACAGAAACATTATTACTACAGTCCAATCCAACTAAATTAAATCCAGGGCCTAAACACATGCACACACACAAAATTTCCATAAAAGGAAGGAAAAGAAGGGAGGAGGGTTATATGAACTGGGGGAGGGGGAAGGGAGAGAGAAAGCAGTGTGTATAGTGGAATGAAGCAATAAAGTAGTGACAGTCAAACCTAAAAGTTGGATTCATCGCAGGACTTAGGAGCCAGCCAACACACATCCTCAGAAAACTTGGGCCAGGGAGAACTTCCCGCTTCTTACTACCCCATACCTGCTATAACACACTGTTCTTCATGCCTCTGTGCATGACTCTTCCTGTTCCTTTTTTTTCCTGAGATATCCTTTTCCCAACTCCAGTAAACAAATGTTGATATGTACATTAAAACCCAGCTTAGAAGTTGCCTCTTCCCAGAGAACTTTTGGTCCCCTCTGCTTCTGAAGAGTTAATCTTTCCCTCTACTGAGCTACCTCTTTATTTTTATACTTATGTCATTAATTGTATTATGTTCTTTCTTTTACACGTTCATATTCCAAATTAGACTGAGAGTTCCTGATTGCAAAGGCTAAGTGTTACTCATCTCCAGCTGATGTAATGATTAGCACATAACTCAAAATTGGGCCATTTGAATTGAGTTGAGATGAAGATTTGAAATAGTAACTTTCTATCTCGAGGTTAAACATTTAAAAACAGAGTCAAATTCAAAGAAGTAGAGGATAAAGTTTTAGAGAAGGTAGTTTGAGAGTACAGGTAGGGGAACAACTAGGCCAATGTATTGAAGCAATAGGAGGGTAACAGAATGAAAGGAAGTAGGCAATGGTTATTTCAGAAAGGGAAGAATTTTAGCAGGAAGGCTGTAATTAAAATCGGTGCATATAAAACATATGTAACTTATACCTACAATAATTAGTCCTTTTGTTTCATCATTCTGCTTTGTGTCAATTTTCTGATAGCACTAGTGGTCTTGCATTGTCACACCCACACATTCTCTTGACCATGCACATGTGAAATGCTTGATATGAGTTCCAGATTCTGTTAAGGTTCCTGAAATGGAACCCACAATAAAAAGTTTGAATAACCAATAAAATGGGCTACACACTAACAAAATAGGACAAATACTAGAAATTCATTAACAGTTAGGAAATCTCCATCTGCCCAATCTGGCTTTAAACAAACAAAAACAGAGAAAGTCTGAAATTTGCAAATATGGAAAAAACCCAGGGAAGTTTATATTTACACAATTATTAGCAAATGTATACAATTATTAATAATAATAATAGCTAATGTAGCTATTCAATTTAGTACCTTTATATGATTAATACATATTTATATTTTTATAGATTATATGTGCCTAGGCAGGCTGCAAAATGGCCCTGAGTGATCCCCTTGTATAATCCTCTCCCCTTGAGTGTGGGATGAATTTAGGGACTACTAGCAAATAGAATGCAGCAGACACAATGGGGTGTATCTTCCCAGATTAGATAACAAAGACTCTGGCTTCTAGTTCTGGGCTTCTCTCCTAATCTCTTGCTTGCTTGTTTGCTCTGAACAAAGCCAGCTGCCATGATGTGAGCTACTCTATAGAAATGCTCATGTGGCAAGAACAGCCAGCAACCTAAGGCCTGCCAAAAGCCGTGTGAATGAACTTGGGAGTGGATCCTCTCTCAGTGGGGCCTTGAGAGGACAGCAGTCCCAGCCAACACCTTAACTATATAGCTCGTGACACACCCTGAGCCAGAGGTATGCAGTTAAGCTGTGCTTGGATTTCTAAAGAACAAAAACCTTGGGAAAGGGGTTGTCTTAAGCTGCTAGATAACTAATATGTCCTATAACTACAATACTGTATATATTATCTATTATATGAACATAATAACATTTATAACTATATAGTATATAATGTTATGATATTGATATAAGATATTAATATAAGACTATAAATTAGCTATTATGTTACCTATTATATTATTAACAGTAGTTAATAATATAACATTAATATAACATGTTTATGGAATACTTAAAATATACCAGGCACTGTGCTAAAAAAGAAATATGGTTTCCTTTGAAATTAGTACATTCATGAGAAAGCATAGAGAAAAAAGAGCTGAGAAGAAAGAAGAGATAAGGGAGAAGGGAGAGATGGACAATAAAATAAGAAGGAAAAAAAGAGGGAGGGAGAAACAGAAAGGGTGGAAGAAAGCATGAGAACTCAGGTGGAATCACAGAGTGACCCTTTAATACTATGAATCAAATCTTTAATAATTTAGTACTACGACTTACTTGAAATGTAGAAAATCTGTCAAGGGACCATAGAATTAAACAATTATAAAATCTAGTTTGTAAGAAGAAACTAAAGGAATTTAAGTTATTTTGCCTGGAGAAGAAAATCTGAATGAGGAATTTAATAATTTTAATATTTTGAAGATTTTGGTAACTTTATATTTACCATTTCCACATAAATTAGGACAAAATAAAAATAAATTTAACCTGGAGCTTAGTTTAAATTATATCTTGGAGTGACTGCTTGAACAAATTACCATGAATAATTAAAATTCATTTATTCATTCAACAAACATGGGAAACTTCCTATACTCCAGCCATTCTGTTATAGGCATTTGGAATGTAGCAAAAATAAAA